GTTTCCTATTGGCCTAACATTTAAGATAACAGCCAGCTCCAGTCAGTCARACAATACAATCCCCAAGGCCAAACCAGGAGATACTTCTGTGCCACAACCAGAGAATTTACAGAACTTCAGTGCAAAACAGCAGGATCAGTAGTGCTTCTTTCACAGAAGTCACCGAAGCTGCAACGGTTGCAAGGCAGCAGCATCCTTCCTGGAAGCAATTAGATGTTATTGCAAGAGAGACCACTGTTTAAACAAAGCCATTTGTTCTTCCTTTCCTCRTGATGCTATCTTATCACAGTCCAAGTGTTTTATATCAGCACACTGAAATTATGGCTAACGAACAAGGATGTTCAAGATAAATTCTAAGAGTTACAAAGCAAATACTTCCTTTTTCTGTAAACAATATGACTGAAGCCACTTCTTGAAGAAATCAAGCTATATTTATATTCACCCTCTTGAAATGCTACAGGCAGCCATAGAAGGACAAGTTTATAATAAATTGCTATATTTGGAAACCTTTGTTGCTAAGCATCTTCTAACATTCAGTACAGTTTATACCATTCATGTCCCTGCTACATAATTAACATTTCATATGTTTTTCCAAAAAAGCACAGTGCTTATCTTTGTTGTTAAATTAAAAGCATTATAATTTTTTAGGGAATTAATAAAAGACTGTGTGGCCAACTAAGCAGAGCAGAAGCCACAACATCCCGGGGAATAGAAATACTGCCATTATATGAAAGGATACGGCACAATCTATCTTCTAGCCAGCACGTATGTCCAAGACCAGGCAATTCAGCACTCAGCTGCTCACACTACAAGATAGCCTACTCAACTGCTTAGGACATGGTAACTTCTTTCCAGTCTTAATAATAATCTTATCTTAGCTCACACATAATTAATGCTTTTTCTTGCCAAGATTTTGTGCAGATGAAGCCCTGAAGGGGCWCTAGTCCACTAGTCCAAAGCAGCTCATCATAAACTGACCTTCACAGGACATGCTCCAGTGTCCAGAGTGTCTGCAGGTTTTCCCCGTTATGCTGCTAACCCATATGGAAGATGATAAGAGGATGCAACACGCAGAAACCATGGAAAAACAAGCGAACATTGCTAAGCAGCAGAGAAACACAGCMAATGAGCAAGTCCTAGGTTCTCCAATACAATCATTATAAATAATGCAAATGTAAACAGAGATTAGGTATATTAGTAGTAAGCACTGCACCGACACCAGTGAGACTTGCCACATTAGAAATAGCAGTTTGACTTAATTCTGCCAGACTGATCACAAGCAGCCTCTTAGTTATTTATAAAACAGACAAACAATATCTTGCCTGACACATAAGACAGGATACAAGTACTTTGCCCAACAATGAAGGCTGAGAAATACATACAGGGCTGTTTCCAGTCACCCTGTTGTCAACTGTTATGCCAGTACTGCAAGCTTCACGATACCTGGCAGCTTCCCTATAAACACAGTCACGTTATTTTGTGGTTTTGTTTTTCAGAAAGCTAAGGCTACCCTTAACAGAGGAAAAGGAGGGATTTAATATTTTAAAATGACAAAAGGTCAAATAAAAGCATCCCTGACTTATAATTATGTGCATCTATCTAGGCCCACGCAGGTGATGTGGTTAAAGTCCTGCTTGGAAAAGCACTCCACAGATTCTCCAGGTTCCTCACTCCTGCCCCTTCTCCCTGCCCACTGCAGGGCACACACCACTGCAGCTCTGTTTTGTTTAGGCTCCACACACAGGGGAGCCTAAAACATTTAGTGCAGGCTGCACACTGAAGACTCCTAAAGCCTTGGAATGACTTCCACAAAAAYACACGGAGCCGCTAAGCAGGCCAGGAAACACACCGGTCTGACCCCAGAAGTATTGCTGAGCAGTGCTTGCTCAAAGAAGAAAACAGCTGCAAATATTATCTCCACAACAACTATGTAGTTTTCATTGAACTACAGTTCTTCAGAACTAAAYAGAGTACAAAAAACCATAGAAGTTTTTAGAATAGAGTATCTCAGGAAGCTTCACTACGGGTGACGAGGTGAAAGTTTGCCTATCATAGCCCTGCAATTGTCATATTATATATTGCGTTACAGTTATTATATACAACCACATTCTTCCTTCCTTTATATAAGAAGTGTATATATATAAACAAATACATGCACATGAAAAAAAATGAAGTGGAAATACAGCTTGAATGAAGGAAAAATCTTTCAGAAATAACCTAAACCTGTTATTAAGCACACAAACATATCTAGCTTRTGAACTCTTTCCTGCTTTCCAGCAACCAGTGAAGTTTGGGCAGCCACCAATGAAGCAGCTAAAGACTTAGAGAGTCTCCCAAAGGCCGCTAGTGCAACACCACTGGCAAGCAACAATAACCTTGTGCTGGAAAATGAACATGTATTTCCAGGTTCAGAATTTTTACTTTTAAATTAATCTCCATGTTTAAGCTGTTCTTAACCACCTGACTTCATTTTATGTTAAAACAGAAATTAACCTTAAAATTTGCGAAAGAACTTTTAAGTCAGCATTTTCTAAGTACCAAGCATTGCAGTGATTCACAAATGGGCACCAGCAGTCTTAATCCCATGTCTTGTGTTTTATGCTGTAATGTACATAATGTCTGTGAAATACACACATGTTCGATTCTGAGCACTACACTAGCAAAAGGCTATTGACAAACTGGAGGGAGTTCAGAGAAAGTCTACAGAAGTTCTCAGAAGGCAGGAAGGATTTATTTAGAACGCAAGATTAGAAGAGCTAAATATTTAGAGCTTGGCTAAGTAATGAATGAGGAGGTAAGGGACATGAGAACAGCCTACAGATATCTGAAGGGTGTAAACAGTAAGGAAGGAGAGTGAATGTGTTACACAAGGATGTAAATACAAGTAGTAGCACAAAACTAAACATGGAGAATTTAGGCTGAGCTTGAGAGAGCATTCCTGGACAGCAAGCCATCTTGGCCCATGGAGCAGTTTCTTCAGGGAAGTAACAGAAACCCATTGCTTGGGACATCAAACCAGACTAGACAAAACACTGGAAAAATTGCCACATGGAATAGCCTTACTCTGTGGGGAAGAAATACTGCTTCACAAAAGCAAATCTTTTCAACTTTAACCACCATTAAAGTGAGAATATATTRCACAAGGGTGAAAATTTAATTTAAAAACAGATTTCAAGAACTCAGTCATAAAAGAGAACGCTACTGACAAATGCTTCTCAAATACGAGAGAGAGAAATTTCGTTACGGTAAGATTGGACCCAAATCATGCTTTCACAATTTTTTGAAAAGGGAAAATACATCTAAGCTGCAAAGAATTAAAGGAGTAGAACTGCATTTTCCCCAGCAGAGGTCACTCCAAGTTAATAAGTGACAATGAAATTTAACAGCACGAATTCAAACCTTCAGAAAGAATATTAATGGAAAGGGGACCCCTGGGCTCTCTCAGTGTAAAGAGCAACTGTGCTGGATGCAAAGCGCCCAGATAACACTGCATCCTGCAGGTGGATACTGCTACTTGCCCCGGAGTTGGTTTGGGTTTGCATAATGCTGAGGAAAGGTATAACATTCCATTGATACTACACCGAAAATTGATTTTCTAGAAAGTCCTCCTAAAGTGGGTACATGTATCAACKATTTACAGCTGAATAACCAAGTGAGCAAAGTCACAGAAACAATGTGGAATTCAAAATACATTTTTCACTGAAAGTTTTTGATTACAAGAATTAAGTATTTACTACAGTCTTTGACACAGGAGGGCTGACAGACTTTCAAAAAAAAAAAAGAGAGGAAGAAAAATAATCAGGGAGTCTGATTTTTGATGTTCTTTGTATAAATTTCTTTCAAAAAGAAACTAACTTAACTAAGTTAACAGAGAACTTAAACTACTACTCTAACCCAAAGAGCACTGTAAGTATCCACACACACCTTCTCTTCTTCATACAGAAGTCCACAAATTTGCATGTTAGACTAACCCCTTAAAAATTCTGTGAACTYGCAAGTTAAAAAACATGCTGTTCCAAGTGCCATCACCCCTAATAAAAACTTGTGTCATCTTCACAGTAAATTCTAATGCAAGAATTAACAGTGCACTGCGCCATTGCCAGAGGAAGCTGTCCCAGCGCCAAAGGAAATAAAAGTAAGCAACACATACAGCAAATATAGGTGCCAACTACAAGGGAGAAAATATGCGTAAGCAGAAATGAAGGGTCATATTTTGACTAGGCTGTTTTAAGAGGTTGCTCACAGGTAGATTTAAGGTTAACTGCATAGACCCATTCTAGYAAAAAGTAAGAATCGACAGACCTTACTTTTAACCTTTCATCCAACAATAACAGAAGTGACTTTGTGTTTAAGCATTCCCTGGATCATGTTGAACCCATGCTGTATGAGCCGTGGATAATTCCTGCAGGTTACATGGGTGGCTATGGATGCTTTACAGCCCCAGCTCAGGGCAGCTACTTGGGCTGTACCTTAGCTCCACTGTAGAATCCCTCTCACAAGTTCCTAGTCTGCAGGCAAATGCAATACAGGCAAAAAAGCCAGAGACACACACAATAAATGCYAGTCAGGCCCATAGTCTGAACATCTTGGGAATCAGGATCTGTTGGACAAGCTGTCTAACTCCAGCAACTCAAAACTTTGTGGAGAAGCAGTAGGCTCTAGAGCAGGAAAACTAAGGGATATATCAGTTAAATCACTACTACACTGCTGGTGAGCTAAGAGACTTCTAACTTTCTAGTATGATACAGATGGTACATGAGATTCTCCAGGGCTATAAACCTCCAGTTAATTCATTAGCACTCACAAAAGTGCTTTTCTAGTTTATAAAGAAGCAAACAGATCAGAATTCCTCCTATGCCACACCTGGTTATGTTTTCTTTGACACAGCTCGTCCTTTCAGAAGTTACCAGTATGCATTGTGGTCTTTTTCCTTTTTCACCCAAATGATGAGACTAATAGCAAAGCAYAGAGGATCCTGAACAAGACACACAGACTCCTACCTGCCTCCTTGCACAAGGCTGCCAGGTCTGCACCCACGTATCCATGCGCGCTATCGGCCAGTTCCGCCAACTCTGCTGCTGTGAGGGAATGAGGAACCTTCTTCAGAAGCTTTTGGAGTATGTCCAGCCGCTCCTGGGCATTAGGAATGCCGATTTCTATTTCTTTATCAAAGCGGCCAGGTCTGCGCAGGGCCGCATCCAGTGCGTGCGGACGATTAGTGGCCCCAAGCACCAGGAGCTGCCCCGCACTGCTCTCCTGAAGAGACCAAACAATAGAAAATATTAATTCAAAGAGAGGATTCAACTTTGCACAGTTTATAGACATACTCCCTGCTCACTTTTCACAGTTACCACAGGACTATGAAATCCCGATGCTACTTCTAAAAGCCCCCAGAAAACTTTTCATAATTGTAGAAAGTGATCCCTGTCAAGCCAATCATCCACGGAGTTCAGCACAGACAGCACACAGGTAGGGACAGTGCACATGTCCCTATATGTAGGCTACGCATACATATGGGTACGTCCAAGATCCTCTTCAYCCCACTGTCTCCTGCTTTCCTCCCTTTCAATACCTTTCAGGCACAAGTCTCTGCCTTCGGTTTTGTGCAGGTTATCTGAGAATACCAGTTCACAGAAAAGTGTACTTAGAAAAAAAGAACTGTAGCTAAAATCAACAGGAACAATCAAGAAAGCAGGCAGCCTCTTTTGCAAAGGACTACCCAAGAACTAAGGCTTTAGTGTGGCCATCCACATAGCATGAGAGGAGCTATGACTAGTCTCAATAATGGAAACTTCCCTGCAGGCGAGGAAAGAAAGTGTGTAAGCTAGAAGACAGTGTTGCCATAAGAATAAAATGTAGCGACACTGAATAAACAAAGTTGGGAAACAAACCATTTAATGTATCAAACCAGCAGGAGGTAACAGAAGACCCCTTCTAAAGGAAGACCAAGACAAAAACCCTAACCCATGTCCTCAAGCCATGCTTTTTCAGCTTTAAAGTTACAACCAGTTAAAGCTTAAATCAGCTGGGAGGGCTCTTGCAGTGTCACTCAGTTCAGTTTCACCGATTATTTACCTTCGTTTCACCAATGCGATATACCTAAAATCGATTACACAACAGAAGCAAATTTATTGTGCTCTTCTAGTCCCTATACATATTGCCTCAGCACGGTCTACTTACGGAGCCAATGCCATCCATTAAAGTCAGCAACGAAGCTACAACTCTCTTCTCGACTTCATTCTGAGCCCCTTCTCTCTTTGGGCAGAGTGCATCCAACTCATCTATAAATATAATGGAAGGGCGACTGATAGAAAAGAAAAAAAGAAGAGGAAAATAAGTGTTAAGATGCYGAGAAGGATTTTAAATATTAAGGAAAGGATTTGCAGAGTTGTTTAAGGAAAATATCCTTAAAATAAAACTAACAAGCATCCTACTCCATCAGGCAACTTAAAAGTTTCCACCTTGAATATGACACTGTTCAAAAGGATAATTAAAATTACCAATATTTTACTTAGACAACTAAAGTCTTTACGATGACCTCCAGAGCTATTTTTCTATGACTCTCTCAAAGACTAGACACTAAAAACACAAATTTCATGGCTAAAAAGACAGTGTTTATTTGCCATCTTTCCAGACACAGGAAATGATAGCCTTTTCCTAATATATTACAAATAACAAGGACCTGGAAGTTTTTCCCTGACCACTTCATTAATAATAATAATAATAATAATAAAAACATAAATACAATTATCTAAAAAACTATACCGCAAAGAAGCTTCAGCAAATATCTGACGTAATCTTGATTCAGATTCTCCATAAAACCTGTAATAATTAAAATATTTCAATAAGAAACATGTTTTTGTATCTTCCAGACAATGTGGAAAACTATTGTTCTAGTGTCCCAAAAAACTGTAGCCCTCCTTTCCAAAGTCTCCAGTCAATTGACGAAGCACAGCAAATCTAAAATAATCTTTAATTCCACTAAAACAAGAAATTAAAGTAAGATGGGACACAAGCTAAGAAATAACCATTTTGCAGACAGTTATAAAAACACAGAGAAGAGCATACTTATTCCGAGTTAGCAACATTCTCTATTTTTATATAACAAAGACAAATGACTTCCCTAGAGATATTAATCCATAGTCTCATCTTTTCATTTCATTACATTTTAACAAGCAAGCCACTCTGGTGGCAGCAGTGACTGTTGATATAGTTACAGAGGCAGTTACGGATACATTTTAAACCTCCCCTTTTTATTTAGACCATGCCTTGCACAAATTTCCAAGCCAAACCAAGTGAACCACTTTTATTACAAGAAAGGTAAGCCCGACAGGGAGCTATTTTTGACCCTTTCACAGATAGCCCACACCCAGTTCTACACAGGGGAATGCTTGATCTCCAGTGAGCAGATGGCAGCACGGGTATCAGGCAGCTATATTTATAGCATTAATAAAAATAAAGCGGGTGGACTTACTTGCTTATTATTTCAGGACCGTTAATGACGATAACGTGAGCGCCAACCTCATTTGCAACGGCCTTGGCAATCATAGTCTTCCCAGTTCCTGGAGGCCCGTGTAGCAGCACTCCTCTAGGAGGAGGGATTCCTTCAGCAAGCACATGCACACAAACAGAGAAGAAAGAGTTATTGGTGATAAATGTCCAGCTGAACAAGCTGCACTCACACATTTCACTGCCCCACAGTTATTTTTCATTATAACTTGATCTCAGTGGAAATGCCTTCACTGTCCCTTCTTCAAAGGGAAGGGCTCACTGCAAGAAACACTCACCATTCTACACACATCTACACTATTGTCTTCTACAGTCCAACTGATTCTGTCCAAAGGGCAACCATGTACATTACTGTCCTTTTCAGTAGCCTAATATTATCATTTTCCATATGATTTATTCAAATATATATATATACACACACACACATATATATAGGACTGAATACCCAGTGTTCATGAATATACTTTATTATCCAAGACTCTTATAGCATCATCAGGGCAAATTTCCAACATCAGAAAACRATTTCCGTTCAACAGCCCAAAAAAGCTCAAATATACTTGAGGCTTGATTTAAGCTTCTAGAATTAACTTCATCTTCAAAAATTCTTATGAAAAAATAAAAAAAWATACATTCATTTAAAAAAAACTGCTCCTTAATACCAAATGTTTAGAATTGAAATACAGTGAAATATTCAGGCAGAGACTATAATGGATAATAGAAGAACAAGGTATTCTGGATACAGTTAAAACTGGACAGAAGTCATCTATAACTGATATAAAGTAAGATTATAATTCCAGGTAAGGTTCAGAAAAACATTTCAGATCATAGGATCAAATGAAATGGGCATGAATCCAAATACAGTAAGAAAAAAGCTAAAATGCAAAAAGAGATGACTTGAACATTTAACAATGAGAAGACTGACACACAATGAATGATGAAACACAACCACGGAACAAACAGGTAAAGTGACAGAGGAAAACTTACTAAGAAATTTCTGTGGGTAGTATGTCCGGTACGAAAAGAAAGACCACATTTTTAGGAATATATATATTTAAAAGGGCACAAGTTAGCAGATAACCGACAGAGGATAGAAATGAAGTGTCTTATGACTGTTACTTTGTCCATTAAAACATGAGCTGCGCCCTCCTGTGGCTTTTATTGTGCTGGTAAGAAACAAAGTTGACCGAAGGTCTCCCCTAAAGTGACTTCCTCACTAGCCAAGAGTAGATAAAGACTCCCAACATAGAGAGGTTTGCTCAGCAAGAAACTGGGAGAAGGGAAGAAATGTCCTCCCCCAGGTAACTTCTAGCAGAGCCTTTGATCCAGCACTTCTGGGACTAAGCATGAAATCCTTTGATCCTGCAGCAATACTTTTACCAGCACAAGAACCTGTGCTGAACGATGAGGTTGGAGCTCAGTGAACTGGGCTGGACACTCCTCATCCCATCCCTCTGAACCCCACAGATTATGCCTATGCAATGCACACTGTGTTTTATAGAAATTGCCCCAGATGTCTGTGAAATCATGCCACAAATAAAAGAAAAAGTGAAACAAAAGAAATAAAAATACATCGGTAAAAAGGCCTTTCTCATAGTGATGCATACCGAGCGCAATGACCATGCATTCCTGCTATATGTACATAACCATTTGTGATAAATGCACAGCACAGAAAACTTCTGAGTTCATGTTCCATGTTAGATATGATTTAATATATGGCAATATTAAACACATTAGCTTTTCAACCCTACAATTCCATACTAAATATGTTAAAGAGTTCATGCAAAAACCCTCAAACACTGCCTTAAAATTTCACAGGAATTCTGTAACAGACAAGATTAAAAAAATAACAGAAGAAATAATCTGACTGAATTTTCCTTAACTTAAAAAACATGTATATTAAGTTCACTTCACCAAAAATTACTTATGAGGTCACAAGAAACATCTGCACCTTTCAAACACCTGAGTAAAGAACCCTTCAATGTCTGCAATAAATAACTTATGGACACCAGACCTTTCCTAGACAAACATCTTTCTTTCCTACTCARTTATTTTGCACACAAACTAAATATTAATTCTTCATGATATCCATAGAGTAGGGATATAGAAGAGCTAGGAACTGCTTGTACATCCAAGTATACTGAGCTGGTATTACATTAAAAAGTCAGTGTGTATTTCTGGTTGAATAAGTTGCTTAAAAAGAACAAAAATAAAAAGTCATGTTAAAGAAAAACGAGGTATCAAATGAAGAAAGCCAACTCTTAGGCATCATACCGTAACTCTTGAACAGTTCAGGCTGCTTCATCGGCAGTTCAATCGATTCTCTAATAGTCCTGAGCTGGCTGCTTAAGCCTCCTATCATATCATAGGTCACTCGAGACTCGCARTCACCATCTTCTGCCTCACTGGGCCTAGTTTCAACGAAATTGATTCTAGTTCGTGAAGAAATGAAATAAAACACATCTGTGCTGCTCATCATTCCAGGTTTGTCAGGCAGCAGGAGGCTCTCACCACCGTCTTTCCCACTCAGCCCCAAATCCTCAGTGAGGTCTGCAGCATTTTCCTTACTATAAGGCTTATCCTCCCGACCAGAGTCTTGACCACTGGCTACCAGAGCCGAAGCGGGTGTAACTGGTGACTCCGGAGCCCTAGATTTGCTTGGTGTGCTCAGAGATCCAGCCTCCGGAGGATCATCCAAGTCCATGTTGCTGAGCTGCAGGGACAAATCCAGCGCACTTGGCTCCAGCTCAGCCCCCTCAAGGTCTGGCTCGTGCAGCGCGCTGGAAATGGCATCGCTCGGGGCAGTCAGCTCCGCACCATCGCTCCCCTTCACTTTCGTTACCACCACGTTACAAAGTCTGCCATAGAAAGTGAAAGCCAGGAGGTTTCCTGGCAAAACGACTTTCCCATCTACAATAAGATTCATGAAAGAAAAGGAGGGGAAAAAAAGAAAAAAAAAAGGAAAAGACATTTCAATCATTTCAATTAAATTTGGCAGAAACAAATTTCAGGCACTGTTGTAACTGTTGTATCAGAATAATTCTTTAGTTGTAACAAGTTCTATAAATTAACATAATTAAAGGTCCATTTTAAAAAATGGAATCATTTTGCCTTCTAAAATGATCATTGCATATACAAGSAGATTACAGTAATGAATATTCAGCATTAATACATGTTAACTCTCATATTAATCTCCCATTAAAGGCAAAAATCTGTCAAGATTTATCATTCCTAGCCAAACTCATGCTTTCRGAATCTAGTTCTCATTTTCTGCTTCCCAGACGGCCAAAGCAGGTTGGCAATTTAACAAGTTTGRCAATTTCTAAATCAGGAGATTCTCACAGAGTAAAGCAATTCAACCTCTGAATATCACCTTATCTATGCAGAAACTTGGGTTTTCTTTTGACTTATGTAAGCATATCCACCATCCAATGTATATCAATTTTCCTCATTTATCACCAATGTTAAAAAACAAAAGTTTCAGTGTACAAGATAATGTTAATAATGATCTCTATTTTGTGTGTCCAGATCATAATACTGAATTCTTTCCCTGTGCAATGCAAAGGAAACTTTGCAATAAATCACAGTGTCTRCCAGAAGATCATCAATGATTACTAAACAATTGTAGCTCGAACCAGCAATAGATCCAAACACAACAGCCTGACAGCCAGGATCACAGCCAGCTGAATGCTTGCAACACAGAAGAATGATTTAGCCCAAAGCAGATACAGCCCTAAAGGAACAATGTTCTATTTGCTTTGCCTCACACCTCTTGATCAAAACTGTAAAAGGAAACTTCTTCATCCAAATCCTGAACTCCCATTACAGAAAAAAAAAAAAAAAAAAAAAAAGTACAAAGAAAATAAACTATTTATATTTTTGATTTGTTTTATAATTAGCCTGAAAGTTAAAATCCAGTGTCTAAATTCAAATAATTTGAAGAGGAGGGATGGGAATAAAGGAATAGAAAGAAATCGTGGAGGATGGGGACTRGATATATCTCAAAATCAAGAGCTTGAAAATATTTTCTATTACCTAGGAAATATCAAGCCATATATGTAGTTCCCTAATCATTTGCTCATCAAGTATGTATTTTCATTTAAAGAACCTCTGAGCATCCATTACATCTAGAAGAGATGAAACAATGCCGTACTTTGTAGTTAACTTTTATAGAGGAATAACTGGGGTGAAGTCATGTGGCTTTTTCTGTATCTCTTTTCTGTGTGTGAGGTTTTTTTAATGTAATATTCACTAAGGAAAAATACATGACATTTTGTGCTCTAAATACACTTCCCTGGGAGATGAGAATTGCTCTATCAGAKTGTAGATTGAGCACTGATAGAGCAACTAGAGAAGCTGGGAACATAATAAATCATTTTGATTAATGATCATAATGCATGTTATAAAACTTTCAGAGAAAAATAAAACCAAACCCCGACCTCATCTGTATTCCTACACCCTGAAAAAAAAAMCAAAACTGAGTTCTAGTTTCCTTTCACAATCTTTCTTTGTCATACTACGAGGTCTCTGATTTTTCCTGTCATGAAAATGGGAAAAGCCTGAGGTTGTATTTCTGTGAATACCTTAACCTGCATAAGCTGGTAGGGCTGCTACAATAAATTTGCTGGAAGCAAATAGATGCCAACAATAATACTAGAGAAAATAAATGGGTTTCTATTTGTAAACAATGACAAAGTGGCATTGAATTTTAAGAATTAAAGCTTTATGAAAAAATTGAGGTTTGCCTTTAGTATGTTTCATAGCATTCTGCCTGTTGAATACATCACCTACACATAATGATGACAGGGCATTAGAGGTGGGCTGCCTTATCTTGGAATTTCACATAGAGGAATTTTCCATGCTCAGAGCCAGCTTGAACCAGCTGGAGCTTTGGCACCACTGTTCATCTTCTGAGAGAGGGACTCTGGGATGTGAGATTCTACTGTCTCACTCAAGCAGACTGCAAGGGCTGCAGCCTGAAAACTTCCAGGACCTTTACCTGCCTGAAGCAAATCAGCAAATCCTTTTATTCTGCACCCCTGGTGGCTAATTGCTTCCAAGTCCCAGAACAACTCCTAGGACTCCCCTCCTCCACACATCTTCTGCCATGCCCTGGCTTGTGACCTATGGAGAGGTGGAAACAATCACAAAGACTTACTACTAAGTTTAGATTGAAGGAAACCTCTGTCTGAGTGGGACCCCCATGATCCCAGGTCCTTTTCTGCAAAGAGGTTTTCTAGACTGTTGTTGCACAGCCTCTCCTGTTATTTGGATATATTCCAGCCCCAAGGCAGGACTTTACACTTGCCTTTTTTGAATTTCCTTTTAGTAGCTTCTCCAGTCTGTTGAGGGCCTTTGATTAGCAGCACTGTTCTCTGTTGTGTGTCCTTGTCCTAGCAGGAAAGCCAGGGTGGTTGAGGGAACAGACTATCCTGCCTCTTTCTTCCTCTAGCTCTTTGCCAGAACCCTAAATCTGCCRGATCTTATTGACAAACTGCCTTTCGTGACTTACAGAGCCTCTGCCTGCAATCTGCTCTGTTGCTGTCACCACTAGCGAACTGAATTTTGCCAAATAAATGATGGTAGCTGTGGTGAGAAGCACTGAATGAGCCTTGAATGAACCTTTGTGGCTGATTTGACACAAAAGTGAGGCAAACAGRTGAGGAAGGAGTAAGCACAGTCTCSCTGCAGTGACAYGGCCCAGATAACATAYRGCAATACCATGGGAATCAGCACAAAAAGTGCATGTGAATGGAATACCCAGATTTGGATGTTTGTCCAAGACCCATAMTGCTGAAAGGAAATAAACGACAAGGGTGTTGCTTAAGGCATGCACCAGCTGAACTCAACAGCGCCCTGGAGACTTTGGAGGAAAAGAGTCAGCTTAAAAAGAGGTAAAGAAGAGCATGAGCATTTGGGCTGGCATTGCTCAGAAAGGGGGCCTGGAGCTAGAGGCCGTGTCTCCTATCGGAGCGATGCGCAGCAGGGCAGCTGCGCTCCACAGCACACGGGCAGTTGAACCCCTTGCTGCCCTGAGAAGGGCTGGACACGAAACAGCCTCTGTGTGTCAGCTCCTCRGGGTGAGCATCCGCCCACTGCTTAGCAATTTCTTATTATTAACATTTTCTAAGCACTTAATATTTTATGTGCTGAATGGCTGACATTGATCCTGAATTTACAGCTTGCTAATCTCTGGTTAATAAATTAATACACTGCTGAAGTCCTGACTCGATTTAAACCATATAAATTGAGCATTTTTTTCCCTGCAACAACTACCATTTGAAGCAGTCTATCCTCTCTATACTTATTTGGCATTACAGATGTTATTTACACACATGCAGTGCCTGTGTAAAAATAATTGTTCAAAGAGTATTTTCTTTTCCTTCAGCTGTGAATACTTTATGGCATCACTTAAAATGCAAGTATCACAACGGCCTTTACACTAGCGTAGAACCCTGTCCCCGTGGATCACACCACCTCCATGCCTCTCCAAAGGACTCGTTTCTGCTAAGGTTACGGACCTGCAACTGATCTAAATCAGCTCTGAGGACTGAAGTTTCCTGAGGAAGGAGTAAGCTGCAAGGGRATCAACAGGTAAAGAGGATTTTAGAGAGAAACTGTCAGGGAGAATTGTATCCTTACTTCCCCCAAACAGCAAGGCTTCAACCTTGTAACACCCCTTCCTTCCAGCAGGTGAGCAAGGAGAGAGAAACGTTCCTAGCAGGGGGATGCTTGTCCTAAGCATCTAGCCTTGCCCCATCCTCCTGCAGGGCATAAACCCATCTGCAAGCGTGGGCTCCCTTCCCCGCGTGACACGGCTACTGCAGGCGGGCACGCACCCCGTTCCAACGGTTCCAACGGCTCCAACGGCTCCAACGGCCCCAACGGCCGCGCGGGGGCGGGGCGCTCCCGCGCACGGCGCTGATTGGCTGCGTCGCTGAGGGCAGCGCGCGGCYGCCGTCTCTCGTGTCGCCTCAGCGCAGCGGGGCGAGCAGCGGCGCCGGGGGGAGCCCAGAGCCCCTGGGATTTTGGGCTGCGTTGGAGTCAGGAATGTGCTTGACCGAGCCGATGTAGCTGTCGTTATCCCTCGTGCCCTGGGGAGCGGGCGGGTGGCTCGGCGAGAGGCCGTTCGTCCCGTTTCCTCTGTGAGATTTCCACACTAAACAGCCCAAAATGCCCATCTCTATGTATCGTTTTTTGTTGAGTTTTGTGGAAAACAGAGGTAAATCTTGTTGGTCTGCGGGGATGGGAGCAGCAGAGGTTGAGTGTAGGAGCCTTTAAAAGAGAAAGGGGATCTTAAGCCCCATCAGATTTTTTTTTGACTTGCTCAAGTTAAATTGAGGCAGTGACAGTCTTCGTTAAATACTGGTACAGCTGGGAGCATCTACCGCGAGGGGGGTTGTCTTTGYTATGAGGAAATTTATCCTAGAAGAATGAATAAAATGTTTTATGCTGCCCCATATCTAACTGAGACTACTGAAAAATAACATTCGGTCCTGTTTGTGCTGTCTCTTTGAGTTTTTATTTAGATTTCCTTCAGAGTTAATGTTCATTGCTTTTCCTAACTATAATGTGGGGAACACTATTATGCTTACTTGGTATTTCCCTGCTGTGACCCAAGAGGAAGAAGAGATATTTTAAATATGAGTTAATAAATTGCTATATAAAAGATGTTATAATAATCTTTTGTATTTGCAAAAGCAAAGAAGAGTAAAGGCTTTAGATGACAGTTACTCAATGTATTTGGTTTTAAAATCCAGTTCTTTGTTATAGGGTCTGGAAGATGAAGCGTTCAAAAAAAAATTCGCAGAAAGTGTCACTAGAGAAAAAAAGCTCGACTCCAAGTAATGGAAAGCAAGTAGAAAAGCCTAATAAAATAAAGAATGCTTCAGCAGAGGAGAAAATTTTACATGGCCAGCAAGCTAAAGACCACTCTCTTCAGCCAAATGCCATAGATGTAATCTGTAAAAGTACGGATTATGTCAAAATAAAAGTGTTTTCTGAATTAAATGGTACTTCAGTGCTACCTGAAAAAAAATCATCAGTAATTCTACCAAGACTGAGCATTAGCTCAGTAACTGCTGAGGAATGTTGTTATGATATAAACGTTGATCAAAACGTTAGTCAAGAAAAATGTCAAGATCCTGTGCCTGATACAATTTGCAACAAAAATTCGGATGCAAAGCAGTTTCGAAATGCCAGGTGTTTGAAAGTGACACTTCATAAATGGTGCGAAAATGGTGCAAGCGCAGCAACAGCCAAGACAGTTGAGGTTTGTTTCTGCTCGAGCCTGAACGGGCTGCCCATCGATCAGTTAAAGGAGAGTGAATCTGAGCCCGCGACTCATAGTGACAGCAAGGGTAAGGCAACTAACAGTGTCATTTTCATCCTAGAAAAGTTGGCTGTAGAATCTGGAACAGAAGCTGCTAAAAATCTCATTCCAGTGGTTTTTAAAAAAAAAAAAAAAAGAAAAAAAGAAAAGAAACAAACTCCAAAAGCAAAAAAAGAGCAGGAAGAGTGTGGGGGCAGTCCTAGTGTGCGCTAGGCATAACAGTAGAGAAAGTAGGTAATGAAGGGAGGGAAATTATCCAAGAATGAGCCAAGAAAACAGAATTAGAAGTTATTCTTAGAAATTTTTCCTTTTTTTTTCTTTCTTCCTAGAGAAGATTAGAAAGTCCATTCTTCCAATAACATGCCCTTTACATGAAGATTTTCTCTGTTGACCRAACTGTCATGGCTTATTGTCCGAAATTCTCTAATACTTCTTTAAGCTATCTCTCCTATGAGAATGTTTATGTTGTTAACTATCATTTTACCTGACATGATGATGGTCCCAACCTATTGTGAGTGCCTAGGTCAGAATAGTTGTGTGGAGGCATCAGCAGCTAATAAGGAAGGGTTAGGATACAGAAATACAGAAATCTGATCTGATAATAATAAAAAGAAAATAGTAAATAATAACTGAGGAAATAATCACTAAAGAGTTACTTTAGTCACCACTAGGATATAAGTGAAATTTTTGGGAGTGSGAAGCTGGGGTGGCGGGTGAAGACGCACCTGATCACCTCCCTACACCCCTTTCTTCCTCCTCTAAAGAAACTGGTGATAAAACTGATCCGGCTTAAACAAATCTGTATGTTCTAACCTGGATAAATGTTTAAAAATTGAGCATGCTGTATACTTAGCTCTCAGTAGCTTGATAAGTGTGCTATATACAGTCCTAATTACCTTGTTTTGACTGTGATAGGGTGATTTGTAAAAGAAACTATGCAGACAGTKGTTTGCTGAATAGTACTCTAAGAGATCTTTTTCTAAATAGAATATTTATATACAATTTCTATACAGCAGCAGAAAGTAGTTGGTCAGACATACTGTTCTTCTGGCAGGTACACTCTTTAAGTTGCTGGTGTAAGGCTCTTCCTTGACTAAAAAAAACATTACCTATGTGAAACCTCTAGAGAATAACCTCTAGAAGGAAAGTGTAGGCACTGCCCCAGAGTAGAGCAGGGAAAATCATCATCTTTTATCTACTTTTTTTAAGGTGGAGAGCCCAYTGCTGCTGCTTGAAAATGAAGAAGAGAAAAATAGCTCTTTCTCAGGAAATGTCTCTATTAAAGTTTAATAGTTAAAAAAAAAAATTAATGGCAGCAATAGTCAATGATCTTGTTTTCTTCTCGCTCYTCCCTGCCACACTTTTGCCTGATTCCCTTGCTTCTGCATCTTTCCACACAAAACAATATCCCCCAGTCATAATTCAAGATTAAACTGCCCTAGCATATTTAAGGAGGCACAACAGGTGGTTTGAATACTGCTGTCTTTTCTCCCCAACCCTGAGTCGTAATTCTGTGTGTTCTAATCTAGAGCAAGTTTTGTGAGGTTAATCTGAACTTGGTTTACTTTCAGAGAACACTCAAAGGAAGAGGATATGCTCAGGAAGCAAGGAAAATATCCAGTGCAAACGTGTTAAGACTTCTGATGAAAGCAAGCAAAATACTTGTGTAATGTCAAAAAAGGAAGGAAACCTTTTAGAGAAGGTACTTTGCTGTACTTGGAACATCTGTTGTTTCATGTATGTTTTAAAATTGAGATCTGATTATCCTGTTTGCAACTCCAGCTGAGGAGTGTAACATGGGAGGTAATGGTAACTTCCTAGGGAGAATTCAAATACACGTTGGATGAAAATTGCAAAAGTTATTTTGAATGAATTCTCTATTTAACTGAAATTTAAAATGTATTGATAATCCTATCAGACAAAATTTACATACTTAGACATACTTAGACACAATCTTGTACATTTTATGAAATATCATTCACTTTGTATGGATCTTGCAATAGCTTTTTCACAAGTGTGTCAGACTGCAAGTTTGCTCTTGCATTTGATAATTTGCTTAAAACATAATTATTTTCCTTCTGGAAGATTTAAAAAGGAGGAATTACTCAGAGGAATAATGATTTATTTCTCCATTTGGGGAAAGCAACTAAAGCTCAAGGAATTAAGACAGAGCATTTTAAATCTTAAAATTTTAACAATCAAGGAAGATGGGAAATAAATACTTAAAGGGAAAAAAAGATAGAAACTCTTTTGTTGTTTTCCTTTTGGTAAAAGAAAGCAAGAAAGCAAAAGCAAAAGCAATTAGGTAATGACTTTCAAGAAAAAGGAATGAGTTTGGCAGGTTCTTTTTTATCAACAAAAAAAGAGAAGACAAGTATTTCACATAGACAATAGTGATCAGGAATCTATACTTTTTTAATGTCTTTCTTGTTTGTTAGTTTTGACTAAACTCATTACATATTTTACAAAATCTTGCTCCTTTTCCTGACATTAAGAAATACCTTCAGGTTAGTTTATACATAAACACACTTTTACCTTGTGGCTGATATCAAAGACACCAGTCCTGATGTGTAAAAATCAACACATTTTATTAATGGTAATTAAAATATTTTTTCAGTATAAAAAGCTGCATTTGTTCATCAGTATTCTCTGCTTAAAAGCAGCCTTGCATTTCAGCCATTTTTGGTCATCGAGCCAGTAGAARAGCAAATTCCCAAATCCTGCATGTAGAAAAATCCTAAATGTTGAACAAATGTTTAAAGCTASAGATGCTGTATTGGAAATGACTGACATAAACATATTAATTTTATTTTTTTTAAGTGTGCTTAGGTACATTTTGACACCTCCTTTATGTAAAGTGAGTTAAATATCATAGAAAGAAGAATAACAAGGTAGAGAATTTCATGTTTCCTATGGGTGTCAAAATAGCACAAAAATATTAGAAAGAAAAGGACTTTTTCATTTCCCTAAAATTTAATTAGATTCTAGTTTTAATATTTAATTTGTATACATCTTAGTATTGAAGGATTTTTAGATCTGAAATATRGCTTATCTGTCTTATAGATCAAACTCATGATCCATGAGCGGATGGAAGTTTTAAATAGTGACTTCTTTGATCGTAAACTGAAAGGCTTAAGTGGAAGAGTTGAACAGGCACAATGCTTGAAAAAGCATGAAGAACTGGCTCTAACATTCCTAGTGAGTTTCTTTGCAAAAGTGAATGACTGCTTATTATGAYACTGCACACTGCAGTATTATGCAGTATTATTGTAGTACAGTAGAGAAAAAAAGAGCCCAATTGCAATCATTCATCTTGGGCGACATAAAGAACAGCTGAACAATAGTTGTCTTTTTAACTTTTCTTAAGTGAAATTTTTTCACTATCCACTCTGTGTATGATAGTGATATATCATAGCATGTTGTGAATTCAGGTTATTCCAAGTTTTAAGTAATAGTATACTGCTTTTCTCTTGCAGAAAAAAGTAGCAAAGCTTGAGAGACGTATTAATACTGTGATAACATTTCAGAAGAAAGTGATGTCAAAAATGTTTGGTCATCAGGTATGAGGCAGAGGCTAATAGCAAAATTAATGGCTAATTGCAAGTTAATGGTTAACKGAATGCTTACACCGAAACTTGATAGCTTTGCTATCTGCATTACTCTTGCTTCAATGAAAAAAATATATGTAAATTCATTAATTTGGAGGAGTTGTATATTTTCAGATATTGCATCATGACTGAAAGGACTTAATGGATCAAAAAGCAGRGTAGTGGCTGTATTTGAATTGTCAGTTATGCTTTKAYWCTYYWCYAKWWRA